ATATTATTAGTTATATAAGTAGATAGTTTAATAAAGAATAATAATAATTTTTAATATAATAATAATTACTTAATAACAGATTTAGATCACTAATAAAATCTATTAATAAATATAGTTAAGGAAATATAATACTTAAATAATAATTTAGGGTTTATAATACAATAATAAGCAGAGGAGATAGGTATCTAATAGAATAGTAAGATAAAGGTAATAAAGGTGATGGTGTCTTAATAAAAGAGGAATATTAGAAAGTTAGTAGGAGTAAATATCAGGTTATATTAACTTTTTTCATGAAATAGAAGGTAGTATAATATATCTATATAGTTTTAACTATAGGAGTTAATTAATAGGTGCAGGGAATGCCATTATAATATTACTTGTTATATAAGGAAATTAATTCTAGAAGAATAAAAGATTAATTAGATATTCCTAAATTAGTTCCTAGAAAGCCAGGGACATGCTACTAAATGGTAGGGCCACCGTATGTAGATGGTATTATCAGGGGAAGATAGTTGTATTCCTAGTAGTAGTGAACTATCTATGGTTGATAAATAATATATGATGGTACATGCACATGAGTGTGCACACAACATTTAGGGGCTTTAGAGGTTCCTCTAGTATACTAACTAGTAGATATATTTATATAGCCTAAAAGAATAATAAATTATTTTTTTACTAGTAAAGCTATACTAGCTTCTATTATCTAGATATTAGGATTATTAGTAGTTAGTTAAGATTATAATTACCCTATATTAGGGGTACTCCTAGTAAAAACTATATTTACTTAGTAAAATATATAAAAAATACTTCTATTAGGCTATCTTAATTAGTAAAGTAATTAGAACTATAAGAGTACCTAAAGAATACTCTTAATTAAATAGTAAATAATATAATAATAGTAATACCTTTATTAGTAAACTAATTACTAAGGTATAAGATGCTTACCCCTTAGTAGGTGATGATATCTCTATAGGTCATATACTACCTATATGACCCCTATAGTTTGCTATATATAGGCTCACTATGCCTAATAATTATTTTATAATACAACTTTTCTCTATTATTTTATAAGACTAGTATAATTATTTATTTTTTCTTTCTTTCTTTCTTTCTTTCTTTTCTTTACTAATAAGAGGAATTATTATAGACACACCAGCAGGTATTACATGTAGTGATACTTATTTATTAACCTTTAATAGTTAGTTAGGTACAGGAATCAACTATCATCTTCCCCTGACATATGGCATCGACCATATAGTACACTACCATAGGCTAACTATTCTTCTATTAATTTTCTTTATATAGCCCTATTCTTATTAATCTAATAGAATAATATATTTCTTTTGGGCCAATATTCTCTAAAAATATTAATAAGTAAGTATAATTTAATACAGCTAAAGCTGGCAGTGAGCAGAGCAAGCACCTAGCCAGCTTATCCTTAGTATATGGTATTTGAATTTTGATATCCCTACTATATGGGAATTCAATATTCATACCATAGTATCTGATATCCTTAGTATATGGTATTTGATATCCATACTACATGGTATTCAATATCCTTAGAGAGGTACTATATGAGTATACAATCTATTTGATATTTATGGAGGTAGTGGCTATAGGTAATACAAGTGGGTGACAGTAAAAAATTTGTTTTGGCTGGTTTGTACAAATAGTCCACTGTATTTGGCCGCTTTGTACATTCAGTCCGCCGTATATATCTCTGTCATGCCCATCCCTACAGATGTCAAACATCTAAACCCATATTGTATAGGCATAATCACTTCTCCCGCAGGCTATGTGATGGGTCATACTAAGGCAGCCTCCAGCCCGAATCTAGCTTGAGATTACCGAAAGTAAGAAAGGAGAGTTGTTCTGGAAGAGACAAGCAGGGTGATATCTACTACATCCTGCAATTATGCCTGCCTGAGGGCTGGCTTGGATCTGGCTTGGTTTTACCCCAAAAAGTCATCGCAGTGGGACATGACAACACTCGACAGATGCAAAGCGCTTTATGTAAAGTCTCCACGCACTGTTTTATCATCAATATACCCCAGACAATGTCAGAGCGGACGAAGAAAACACCCCAAAGGGTCAGGAAATTTCTACCTAATGTGATTGAAACATCATCTCGCAGTTACCGGAACCGCCAGTCACCTCCCTCAGCACACGCTTTTTCTGTGGAACAGGGGTTTGAACCAGGCAAGCCAGCACAAACACTCATTGCAGACACACAGCCAGTATCACCCCACAATGACGAACGGCAGGGCGACTCCTTGATACCGAACAACATTGAGGATGGTGATACCCGGATTCGTGGCCGTTTCCAGAGGCAGATGACCAGGGGAAGAGTACTTCACCAGTCAGCGGAGACCAAAGCGAAGAGAGACCAACTGTCCTGTCCCGTTTCGAGTTCGGCTGCCGACAAGGTCGTACTCCAGATGCAATCATGTCCGAGAAAGTTTGCGCCTCAGCTTGTTGAGACCAATAGACGTTCATTTCGCCGCAAGGAAACATCGCATAATTTATATGAAGCTCCTGTACAGGATTATGATATCGGATCTCGAACACATGGCGGCAACACCACCTATACGACATCGGATACTTCCTCTGCCACAATCGAATCTAAATTTTCATACTCTAGTCTTCGACAGCGCCAAGAGTTGAGAAGGCACTCTTTTCGCGTGCCAGACCTCCCTGCAATCCCTTCCAGCTGCAGTGATGCCTCGGATGGGTCGGAAATACCGTCACTCTCAGCTTCTCCCTCCGTTTCGTCCAATGTCCCTGCTCACCGCTCAAAAGCCGGGAACGGTCGTCAAAGTGGCTGTGACGGTCCTCTAGCGGAGTACTTTCTTTCTCTCGCAGCCCAGTCGGTGGAAAATCAATTGAAGGAGCAGGCACTTGCAGCATTTCCCAATGAACAAGTCTATGAGTCTGTGGATCACTTTGCAATTGACAAGGACGAAGATGAGTGTTCCCACGAGGACTCGAAAAACGCTCTTCTGCATGCATCGAGGCGGGAATCGTCGGCAGATCTTCCGTGGGAACTTGAACATATGCGCCGGCATAAGGAGGATGCCGAAATGAGGGATCGTGCCATGGCGGGTACGAAGGGGACACGCCTTTCGTCCGCAATTTTCAACGCTCGACAGCTTTATAGTGGAATCGATAATGGCTATTGGAGAGGAAACTATGAGCCAGATCTCTCCAGGTATCTCGCGCGTCCACCTATGCTAGGCGATGACCTTGTCTTCCCACAAAGTTTATCTCCCGAAGCGACGATATGTGAAAGTGGCTCTGTGCGGGACTGTGCTACTGATTCCCGGAGTCGAGTCTGTAATGATCCTGGTCTTTGGTGTACACGACCCGATTCTGTGCATGATTATACAACTACTGGTCTCTGGAAGGGAACATGTGGCAAAAACAAACATACTCAACAGTCCGAAGGGTCTTTACCGTGCGTGACAAACAATTTTCGTCCCTACGACAACAATGAGTGCCAATCTAAAGTATGCAGCGATGAGCAGGATCAGAATCAATCCAGTTCCAACTCCTCTTGTCACCTGGCTCTAGATGTAGGAGAATTATCGCATCATGACATTGGCAATGAACATCATGATTGTTGCTTTGGGATTCACGATAATTTCGTGACTCAGATCTATAACTACTTATCTCTAGGTTACCCATGTGTTGCCCGTTACTATGACCATGAGCTCAGCAGGGTGTCAGGCATCTCTGTGGAGGAACTCAGACAGGGTGATACGTCTACTCTTGCTAGGGGCTACCTTCAAGTCAATGAAGGTGCTTCAGCAAATGGGCTGGTCATTAGACATGTCTGTACCCGATGGGTGGCCTTACGTTTGTATATACATGATTGGGCAAGGTCACAACCCAACTTGGCTGATAACAATAATGGCCATGACACCTGGGGTGTGCTTGAGAGGAGAGGGAGCTGGGCAATCTAGTGAACTTCTGACCTGAAAATAACATTTCCCCTGGTTCATGCACATACTAGTCCAGAGTCATGACCTCTAATCTTTCAAGTCCGATATCAAAACCTGCAAAGATCAGAGCCGTGGACCCGAGACCTTTTTTTTTTTTTTTTTTTTTTTTTTTTTTTTTTTTTAAAAAAAGGATGTATTTTCTCAACATCTCCGACCCCCCGAGATTAAAGCAAACCTCGTTTCCCGTCCTCCGCTTGAAAAAAAAACAAATCAACCTCCACAGTATTAGTCTCTTCTCCACCGCAACCTACTCCCCACTCCACTTCCCACTCCCTATACCACTCCTCCTACTCTCCCAGACTCCTCTAACCCTCTCCTAGCCCACTAG